GAAAGGTATAATTTCAGCCTGGTGAGTTATCAGTTGTAATTATTTTTCTATTAACACCGTAAGGCCAGGCTAGGCCACTTTGGTTAGATTATTTTTATTTTTATTTTTATTTTTTTATTAAATGATAGCTGTATACATTAATGCAAACATGGGGTACAGTGTAGTGTTTTCATATACATTTTGAAATACTTTCACCAAGCTGGTTCACATAAATTTCATGTCATTTGCATAGTCATTGTGTCAAAACATTTACATTCTAGTTCTAGAAAAGTTCAGTTGTACCCTTGTTAGACAGAAATATAGGTGATCTTTCCGGTCGGTTAGATTAGTTTTAAATACAGGGTCATTAGGAATCCATCTTATGCGTAAAATGCCGTTGCCCTATTTTCAATTTTCAAGGAAAGGACTATGTGGCCTATCAGAATACCAGAGAAAGGACTGGAAAACTATGGGTTAGTAAAGAAGTCATGGTGAAACTTCAACTTTTTTAATCTGTGGAGATAAAATACGTAGTTAAGTTAGAATAGAGGCTTTTTGAAAAGGAAAAGTGAGTAGTGAGGTTTGTTGAAGTTTTCTGTTTCTGCTTTTAAAGTGTGGAAGACTTAAGTAGGTTTGTAGACCATGAGGAAATTTAGAAGTTGAAGATAATGGAAAGAGAATTGATTGAGCAAGATCCTGGAGGAGGCCGAGGCCGTGAATTTGGAGCATGGTCTTTGAACCAAAAGGAGGGGATGCTGGCTACCTCATCCTCCTGCCAGTGGGCAGCTTGTAGTTGGGTAGGTTGAGTCTCAGTTTTCCTGAAGTGGGAGGTGAGGTCAGTAATAGAGAACAAAGAATTAGGAGATGGGAGAGGCAATAAGAGCAGTAAAAGTTTGGGCCAGTTCATGTGAAGAGCATCTTGGAAGCAGCAGCTAACACTGAAGTCAGCTTACAGTGAGTCACATTGAGGAGTCTGACACGTTGGATCATATACTTTTGTTTTCTAGCAATAGCACCGGTCTGGTTTCGGGGCTGAGGGAGGTACACTATAGCACTTAGAGTAGGGTTTGCAATGAATTGGATGTGGTGGCAACACTGGTGCCAGGTATTAAGAATTTATTGCTAAGTGAGGATACATGTGGTTGAAGTTCTCAAACTTTAATGTGCATTTGAATCACCTGGGATCAGATCTACAAACTCTGATTCTGCCAGTCTAGGGGGAGTTCTACTAAAATTTCTAATGAAATCTCAGGTAATGCTGATGCTGGCTGTTCCATGGACTGCATTTTGAATAGCAAAGGTCTAGACTGCATATGGGGTTGATTCCAAGAGGCTTTGTAAGCCAGGAGAAAATGAGGATTGTAGAATCCTGTCAGGTTCAGGAATACAGAATAGGTGAGATTGAAGAGTTGAAAGAATGGAAGACTCATGGTTCAAGACTAGAGGTACAGGAGAACCTCTGCAAGTTGAGCACCCCAGGGACTGTAACAAACTGGTCGACATACACAGATGGTCAACAGAAGGAATGAGGCTTGCTGTACTGACACGTACATGAGGTCCATGTCCCGACTATGAAAACTAGGTCAACTTAGGGAGGTGTTTAGTGTAGGGAGATGATCAGCTATGGAGGTTCTACTGTAGTAGATTTCTAAAGGCAAACAGCTCTGAGTTGCAACAGGCTGAGTCTAGTCCTGGTTGTGGTTGGCTAGAATGGAATGGCAGTGAAAATCTTGTGAGGACTACAGATGGACACTTGGAATCTCTGGAGTAAGCTGACAGGATGGGGTGAAGTACAGTTCTTCAGTGAATTTGAAGGCACAGATTGTAGAGATGAAGGTGGACAGTACTACTGAAGGGCAGTGATGCCTGCTCAGGACTTTTTACAAGAGGACATAGCTATTTGTGTTTAAGTGGCCTCTGGCTCAGAGAATGCCCAAACCTGTTGCCAGCCCTATGGAAGCAGCAGCATCCACTCTGGGTGAGAAAGGAGTACTCAGAAGAGGTTGAGTGTGCTTCTGACTCCCCAGGGGTATTTAATAACATAAAAAGTGGTTTTGATCAAAACTTAAGTGCTTTACATTTTCAGCCAGGGAACAAGATAATAGCTAGGGTTGTTATGATATTTTGTAATTATACTAGGGCTCCCAAATAAACTGGCAAATTGAATCCAGTTTTTTACTTTCTGGGCAAGCAAACAGCTATGGCAACATTCCAATAAAAGTAGAAGTGTCTCAGTAGCCTGAGAAGAGGTAGAGAGAATAGTCAAGTTCAGACTCATGATTTTTGCACTCTTAAGTAAAGGTTAAAAGACCCTTTGCATAAATAGTGTAAACTTATCTTGCCAATGACATTATAAGCAGACTAGAACTAACTTGAATTCTATTCGTTTTTAAAGAATGTTGCGGAAGAAAATACAAAAGTTATGTATTCCTTATATGGAGTGGTTGAACACAGTGGTACCATGAGGTCAGGGCACTACACTGCTTATGCCAAGGCAAGAACCGCAAATAGTCATCTTTCTAATCTTGTTCTTCACGGAGATGTTCCACAAGGTAAGAGGTTTTGAAGAATTCAGGCATTCAGATTATGGCAGGACCAGATTTAACAAATTTGAATCTTTCCATGTTTAATTTTACATTTCCTCTTGACAGATTTTGAAATGGAATCAACCAAAGGGCAGTGGTTTCACATCAGTGATACTCATGTGCAAGCTGTGCCTGCAACTAAAGTACTCAACTCCCAAGCGTACCTCCTATTTTATGAGAGAATACTGTAACAATATCAAAAAGTACTTTCTCTGGAAACAAGTGTGGCTTTTATAATGGCTGTAATAACAATAAAAAAGTAAAGACTATAAATCATGTTCACTTACCATTACATACATGCCAGAAGAAATTATGTTTATTTAACTATCAAAGGGAAAAAAATTACCTAAAAATTTACAAAATGGTTTTGTATTGTCATAGTGGTTTTTATTCCTGCTTCCAGTTTCTGGAAGGGAAAGTTGAATTACTTAAGTCCTTTATGCTAAGTATGTCTGGGTGGTGGGTCACAATGCATCAATAAACTGACTTACCCAAAAACTTGTTTTATTACTTAGAAGATGTTAAGTTCTATTAATTTACCCAAATAGGTATCATTTTTAAAAATGTTTCAGATTGGCTAATGAGAACTTAATTACAAGTGTGTTAATTTTATAAGCATGTATGCTGGCAGTAATATATAACTGGGAAGAACATACATACATAGTCTGTAATGAGCGTAAGCTGGGGAAAGACCTCCCTCTATACTTGCTTTGTGCTAGTTGTCAGCTGACCCAATGCAGACACAAGTCGGTCTCACTCCTAGGATAATTAGGTACGAAGTCCTCCTTACTGCCAGCATGTCCAGAGAAAAAGCCCAAGTTAGCCAGTGTTTGACTTATATACAGTTTAAAGAGGCTTTAAGGACACACAACCTGTCTGAACTTCTGTTTTTTGGAGACAGAGCCTCATTTTTTTGCCTTGCCCTTTTGGGAGAGTGCTGTCACATCACAGCTCACAGCAACCTCAAACTGTTGGGCTCAAGGGATTCTCTTGCCTCAGCTTCCCAAGTAGCTGGAACTATAGGCACCTGCCACAACACCTGGCTATGTTTTTGTTTTTGCAGGCCTGGGCTGGGTTTGAACCCACCAGCCCTGGTGCATGTGGTTATACCCACTGAGCTGTGGGCACCGCTCCCTGTCTGACCTTCCTATGAGGTTCTCTTCCATAATGAATCCTTCTGACCTTCCATGGCAGTGAGATAATCTTACTATTCCTAACATCTGTTGAGTTTAAGACCCAGAAAATATTGCTTCTGAAATTCTTTTCAAAGAATACCAAAAGTATACATAATCAAACAGAATTTAAGAATCTTATATAAGCAACATATTTAGTACTACATCCTATCAGTATAATTTTAGCTTTTTACAAATGTTTTTTCAACACTCCTTATTGACCTTAGGGAAATAAGATCTGCTTTATGAAAACTGACTTGTTAAACCTGTATGTATCAGGAGATAGATCTTATTTGTATCATAAACATCTCTTTTGTACTTATTAGACCAGAGATCCTCAAACTTTTTGAACAGGGGGCCAGTTCACTGTCCTCAGACCGTTGGAGGGCCAGACTGCGGGCCCCAGGACGAGTCGGCTGCTAAGCAGGACAGGGAGCAGCAGCAAAAACACCCGGCGGGCTGGATAAATGTCCTAGGCAGGCCGCATGTGGCCCATGGGCCAGAGTTTGAGGACGCCTGCTACTAGAACATATTTTCCATTCAGCAATCACGAATCACTATTGAAACAAGTCACCTGAATCAGGATTTCCAAAGCTGTGGAAACACACTCTGGAAAATCTACTTGAGGTGTCAGCAGACCTTTCCTATAAAGCAGTGGTTCTCAACCTTCCTAGTGCCTCCTAATGCCGCTACCCTTAAATAGTTCCTCATGTTGTGGTGACCCTCAACCATAAAATTATTTTGGTTGCTACGTCATAATTGTAATTTTGCTACTGTTATGAATCGTAATGTAAATATCTGATATGCAGGATGTATTTTCATTGTTAAAAAGGGGCTGCAACCCGCAGGTTGAGAAAGGCTGCTGTAAAGGGTCAGAGTAGCCTTTTCAGGTTTTGTGGGCCCACCTGGTCTGTGTCAGAACTACTCAGCTGTGCCATCCCCTTATTACAAAGCAACCTGCAGAAAATATGTTAACTATGAGAATGGTTATGTTCTAGTTTATGTATGTTCCAATATAGAAACACGCAGCAGACCCCAATATAAATGGAAAGCAGACCTCTACTGACATAAGAACTAGCTAATGTGACTGACAAGGCTGAGACAAACAGATCATATTCAGATCCCATTAACAATGGTCATGAGACAATGAGGCTTTAACAGTAACAATGTGTTTATTACAACATCCAACTGAGGATAAGAACACAGAACACTTCTTAACTTAAGGAGAATAAGAAAACGCCAGGCAATTTCCAAAGTACTACTACAAATTTAGTCTTCACCTACAGTAAAAATCAAGCCATTCAATCATTTTGGTCATCATCCCAGTCTTTCTTCCCACTTGGAGGCTTGGGCCCACCAGCTGGTTTTGCCATGATGATCTGTGTAACAAAACAAAACCACACAAAGTATGCTTACAACTCAACCTTTAGAATGAAGAAAAAGAGTTATTTTTCTATTAGCCTTGATTAAGCAATCGATTTTATACCACTTATGAAACACTACAGCACAAAGTTCGCTAGCTTCCTTGTTAGAAATTAAATTATAAAGTCTAGCAGACTTGAGAAAGTTCCTTGCTTTGTGGATAACAGCAACAAAATCCACACAGATTAGTGAGGGGCATTCCAAGACATGCTCTTCAATTAACACAGTAAGTGGAATGTGACTATTTGCATGCAGTCAGTAGGTGGTGGTATGCATCAGTCAGTTAGGCACCTGATTTGCTATTTATAAATGAGGTTCATCTTGCCAATCATCTTTATCGTCCCAGTTTCCTTGTGGTTTAGGAGCTTTAGGTCCACCTGCCAGTTTTGCCATTATAATCTAAAGTAGTTGATACATAAATAAAAACAGTTCAATATTGAAATTTTCTAGAGCAGGCGTCCTCAAACTGTGGCCCGCCTAAGGACATTTATCTGGCCCGCCAGTTGTTTTTGCTGCTGCTGCCTGTCCTACTTAGCAGCCAACTTGTCCCGAGACCTGCAGTCTAGCCCTCCAACAGTCTGAGGGACAGTGAACTAACCCTGTTTAAAAAGTTTGAGGACCCCTGTTCTACAACCTGTAAATATTCAAAAGGCAAGAAGTGTTTGTCATGAACAAAAATCCAAGCACCTACTTAACAAGCTCCACACCTGTAATCCCAGCTGAGGCAGGTGGGTTGCCTGAGCTCATGAGTTTGAGACTGGCCTAAGTAAGAGAGAGACCCCATCTCTAAAAATATCTGGGTGTTGTGGCGGGTGCCTATAATCCCAGCACCTTCAGGAGGCTGAGGCAAAGGGATCACTTGAGCCCAAGAGTTTGAGGTTGCTGTGAGCCATGATGCCAGGCACTCTACCGAGGACAACAAAGTAACATTCTTATTTCCAAAAAAAAAAGACACAAGCCTCTTTTATCTAAAATGCACTAACCCAGCATTTTCCAAGTATAACCACCTAATGTTTAAAATGAATGTTAAAAAGCAATAGTGGTCAAACCAAATTAGCTGGCTTTAATCAAAGTAGAGCCCTAAGCCTCTCATACATTCTAAAACTCAAAATTAGGAATACTTTTGTTGCCAAATTAATATAATCAAAGAACTTCCGGTATAGAATCAAGGAATTTGGCTTGATTTCAAGGAACAGAAATTAATCTTCACTGCCATCTCCAATAGATTACACATCCCCCTCTCCAACTTCTTTTTGTTGTTAATAGACAGGGGCTTGCTCTCTTGTGTCCAGGCTGGAGTTCAGAGGCATGATCATAAATAGCTCGCAGCCTTAAATTCCTGGGCCCAAACTATCCTCCCAGCCCAGCCTCTTAGAGTAGCAGTAGCCAGGTGTGTACCACCACACCAGGCTAATCTTTAAATTTTTGGTACAGACAGGGTCTCACTACATTGCCCAGGCTGGTCTCAAACTCCTGGCCTCAAGTTACAGCTAAAAGCCACCACAGCACTCATCCCACATCCCTTTTTATAAGCTTCCATAAAGAAATCTAAACCCGAAATTCTTGTAATGATTAAGAGTATATTAAGACCAAATTAAAGGCCTTAAGCATAATTTCAGAATCTAAGTGTATCACAATTAAAGGAAAAATGTACCTAATTTTCAAACTTTAGCAGGTACCATAACCACTTGGAAGGCTTTTTAAAACAGTCTGCTGGGTCTCCCCCAGAGTTTGATTCACTGAGTCTGGGGCAAGGTCTGATAATTTGAGGTTATCTTGATGCTGTTAGTTTGGGGAACTATGCTTTGAGAACCAGCGAAATAGATAATCTGAACAAAGAAATCTAGCCCGTACTATACTATCCCACACTTGAAGCTTGATTTCCAATTCCCAGAATATACCATACAAAATTACGTACAACTGGCTTTGAGTGTAAGTTTATTATACTAACACAAACTGATAAATGCAGTTGAAAGAGTTCTTCAAAAACATCCTGTATGTACAGACTGCAAAGATCAAGGGCAACCTCCCCACCATAAGGCAAAACAGAGTTCTGCGCAGCGGCTCACACTTGTAATCCTAATACCCTGGGAGGCCAAGGCAGGTGGATTCTTGGAACTCAGGAATTTGAGCCTGAGCAGGAATGAGATCCCACATCTACTAAAATAGAAAAAACTAGCCTAGTGTCCTGGTAGATGCCCGTAGTCCCTCCCCCTACAGGAGGCTGAGGCAAGAGGATCCCATGAACCAAGAGTTTGAGGTTGTAGTGAACAATCATGCTGCTAAGGGCACTCTACCCAGGATGACTGAGACTCTTGTCTCAAAAAAATAATAATACATAAATAGATCAATCAATAATTCAGAAGTGCATTGTGACCAAAGGTTACAAACATTGTCTTTCATGAATAACTGACATCCAAAGACGTCCTAAGGAATATCATAATGTGTTTATACCCTTTGCTTCACTCCTCTACTCAGCTTCTTCTATCTCCTTCTACTTAGGGTCTCCCCTTTTATTCTTGGCCCATTCTAATGTCTAGAATAAGCATTTCCTGAGGCATCTATTATCTTTATTTAAAAACCTAAAAAAAAAAAAACCTCATATGCTCCCATTTGAAACCACCTAATAAAGTGATGATATAAACCTACCAAAAAATCTGGTATGATATCACCTAGTTTCTGCTTATTTCTGATAGAGCTGAAACTGGAGAATCAGTTCCATTTTTGGTCATATCTACTCACTACAGGACCAGGTGCTCCTTATAAAGAGGAAAAAATTGTTTTAATCACCACCAACTGGCCTTAACTGTGCTTAGAAATAAGTCTAATTACCTTCCACTGATTTCTACCTAAGACTTCTCCCAACTTTAATCTGGCAATCTGGCATAACTTTCACTTAATGGATTTATACTGTGCCCTACCAATTACAATTTTCTATTAAGCACTTATTTTGTGGAAAAATGATTTAATTCAATTTACTATAAAGTACCTTTTGAAAAATAATTAGGAATTTTAGTTTATCTCTTTACCCAAAATATACCCACAATTCCTCAATAAAATAAAAAAGCATAAATATTATTTCAAACACAATTTTAAGATCCTTTAATACCTCAAGTTGTGTATCATGGCAGAAAATATTTTAAATACTCAGATCCTGGAGACTTTACTTTCCTTAACATTGGTAGTTCTGCCACGTCTGCTTCAGAGCTTTACAGTCCTCCCATATTCCACATTTACATTCCATAGTAAACATACTCTAAGTTATTTGTACAAAGGAGTTCTAAGGCTAAAGTACTTTGAATCCTATGACTCTAAATCAGATTCATTCTACTCATTCTAATATTAAAATGGCAATGGTTTCTTTCGCTAGAAATATCTTCTTTTAAATTAGTTATTAAGTTTTTTAATTTTTTTCTTTTTTTTGTTGTGGAGAAGGGGGGTGGGTCTCGCTATGTTTCCCAGGGTAGTTTCTTTCTTTCTTTCTTTCTTTTTTTTTTTTTTTTTGAGACAGCCCTAGGTAGAGTCCCCCGGGGTGATCTGCTATGGCATCTCAGCTCATAGCAACCTCCAACTCCTGGGCT